AAAAGTTGGACCAAGATCCGCGTTATTTATCGCAAAAATGTTTTAAGAAGCGAATCCCATTTCAACTTAATGGATACGTTGCAGAATAGTCAATTTTGTAGTGAATTCATTTGTAGTGAATTCTCATTATTGGTCCGTACTTTTTCTACTTTCGCGAAGCGAATAATTTTTCTCTCTGTACGGTATGCTACGACGAATTTTGTCTTAATCGAACAAACCTTGAGAGGTTGGTATGTCATTTACATAAAATCAGAAGAAAATATATATGGGAGCTGCAACTACATCTGATCGGATTCCAATGAATCTTAACAAACATTATTATACACTCAATTTAAAATCCAAAATTTGGCCTCAAGTGGAGAGACGTTGGGCGTTTGGTTTACCATTTACATAAAATCGAACGAAAATTTATATGGAAGCTATATCTAATCCTGAACCGATTTCTCCAAAATCTAACACACGTTATTCTAGACTCAATTCAACACAGTTTGCACCTTTGGAGATTGATGCACCATTTACGTACATAATACATATGGGAGCTATATTTTTACATGATCCGATTTCAATGAATCTTAACACACTCTATCCTAGACTCAACTTCATATTTTATGCCAAATTTTGCCTCAATGGACAAACCGTAGGAGTTTGGTGCACCATTTACATAAAATGGGTCGAAAATATATATGAGAGATATATCTAAATATGAACCAATTTGCACCAATTTCAATACGGTTCAATAGGCTCCGAAGTTTGATAACACAATCATTGGCTTTTTGGTGCACCACGTGAGCTTTATTAAATTTTGAACCGATTTCCACAAATTTCTATAAGTTTCGTCCTCGGGACAAATGAATAAGCTGTGACAAATTTAATATCATTCGCGAGGTGTACATTTTTTACAATAATTGTAATCATCTCTGCATGTAATAACTCGGCGCGACTCATTTGATTCAACCGCAAAGTAAGGTTCAGTTAACGAAAAGTTGCCGGCCATACCATAAACCTCACCGAACATTTACATGTTGAGGACGGACAGGTTTCTAATAACACTTCGATTTTCCGATCCCCTGATGAGACGATATTTTTCGATGGGTTCCTAATAGTTTTATAAGCAAAGTCACGAATTTTTAATGATCGGCCGGCTTGAGTTCTTGTGCGACAAAATGGAGGCCATGATCTGTGCGTGGGAAATTCCTTTACATTAACACTTTTGGGTCGATTATGGATAGCAACCAAACTCCAGTTGCGATGTCAGCTGGCAACGCAATTGATTGATGTTAAGTTTTAACATTACTTTCCTCAGTTGCTGTCGATAATACTGTTAATAAGCTGTTGATAAGCTCAGTGGAACTATTTTTTGATGATGAATATTATGTTAAAGGTGTGTCATTTATTAGAAGGCATTTAAGAGATAAATCTATTAGAACTACATCAGTTCTGTGAGTAGATGCTGACGTTTAGAGAAATGTTCAATTAACTGCTCATATTAGCTTGAAGGCGTATTTTCGACTACCAAAAGATGCCGTTGTGTACATGGAGGAAGCTTTAAAACCTGATTTCCGAAAAGCCTGGTCAACAGCAATTCCTCCTCTCTTAAAAATGTTTGTAGCTCTGATATTTTTTGTGGAGGGAAGTTTTCCAAAGTCCCATAGCAATGTTTTCGCCGAAGTTATCCGGCTAATAGAGGAAAAACTGTATAAAATTTTGATTGTATCCAAATGAGCGGCGGAGGAAAAAGGGAATAATGCATTTTTTTTCGAAAACTAAGTTCCAGGGTGTTGTCGGATGTATTGATGATACACACGTACATAACATGGACCCAAAAGAAGATGTTCGCCACTTTCTGTCATTCATTTGGAATGCGTGTCGTGGGCCATAGCAGTTAAGGTCTTCTGAAATGCACTTCCACAAATCATCGATAGTGGCTTTGGTTTGACCAAAAGTCCGCACGCCGCGTGCTACATTTGGGTGAGCTTCCATCCGAGCAATAAGGACCTCTAATTGTTCTTTTGTAGTAATATTAACCATTATGGGAACCCTAAAAAGTTCAGTTATTATAAACAGCAACCAGAAATAAATGGTTGCCGAAAAATTCTACTTGAAGCAACTGAACAGTTGCCATCCATAATGCAAATTTGGCAACGCATCTAAACTATGGTTGCCATCCGCAATCGACCCATTTGTCAACATAATGCTATAGAGCTTATATTCAATATGCAGGTAGTAAATATATGTATATTCTTATACCCTTCATAGGGTATTATGTCTTTGTGCATATGCAAAAGGAAACGAGATAGACCCATAGTTCCTTTTGAGAATATGCATAGAATCACTTTCTAAGTCGAAATGTGCATGTCCGTCCGTCTGTTGGTGTTAAATTGTAAACAAAGTACAGAACATCGGTTTAGATTTAGATATAGCTCCCATATATATTCTCGTCCGATTGAAGGTAAATGGTGCATCACGAAATTTAGTATAACGTACTGAATTGAGCCTAGAGTGATGTCTGCCAAGTTTCGTGAAAATCGGTCCAGATTTATATATAGCTCCAATATATAGTTTCGTCCGATTTCATGTAAATGGTGCACCAAAGACCCTACATATCTTTCGATTTGCACCAAATTTGGCATAACGTACTGAATTGAGCCTAGATTGGTGTATGCCAAGTTTCGAGAAAATCGGTCCAGATTTAGATATAGCTCCCATATATAGTTTCGTCCGATTTCATGTAAATGGTGCACAAACGATCCTATATATCTATCGACTTGTACGAAATTTGGCATATCGTACTGAATTGAGCCTAGAGTGATGTCTGCCAAGTTTCGAGAAAATCGGTCCAGACTTAGATATAGCTCCAATATATAGTTTCGTCCGATTTGGCATAACATACTGAATTGAGCCTAGAGTGATGTCTGCCAAGTTTCGTGAAAATCGGTCCAGATTTATATATAGCTCCAATATATAGTTTCGTCCGATTTCATGTAAATGGTGCACCAAAGACCCTACATATCTTTCGATTTGCACCAAATTTGGCATAACGTACTGAATTGAGCCTAGATTGGTGTATGCTAAGTTTCGAGAAAATCGGTCCAGATTTAGATATAGCTCACATATATAGTTTCGTCCGATTTCATGTAAATGGTGCACAAACGATCCTATATATCTTTCGACTTGTACGAAATTTGGCATATCGTACTGAATTGAGCCTAGAGTTATGTCTGCCAAGTTTCGAGAAAAGCGGCCCAGACTTAGATATAGCTCCAATATATAGTTTCGTCCGATTTGGCATAACGTACTGAATTGAGCCTAGAGTGATGTCTGCCAAGTTTCGAGAAAATCGGTCCAGATTTCTATATAGCTCCTATATATAGTTTCGTCCGATTTCATGTAAATGGTACAACAAAGTCGCTATATATCTTTCGATTTGCACGAAATTTTGCATAACGTACTGAATTGAGCCTAGAATGATGTCTGTCAAGTTTCGTGAAAATCGGTCCTGATTTAGATGTAGCTCCCATATATAGTATCGTCCGATTTGCATAACGTACTGAAATTTGGCATAACGTACTGAATTGAGCCTAGAGTGATGTCTGTCTTGTTTCGTGAAAATCGGTCCAGATTTATATAGCTCCCTTTTATTATAAATTTATTTTAAGTAATTGACGCACCAAGGAACCAATAGGCTGATAGGAACAAAACGTTCTGAAATTAGTATAACCTAACCTGTGACAACTTTGTTTAAAATCGCTTAATATTTGGATAGAGCTTCCATATATATATTTTCACCAGATTTAAGTAAATTGGGCATCAAACTCCTCATGTTAGTCAGATTGACATCAAATTTTGCACAACTTACAAAATTGAGCATAGAATTACGTAGTTGCGTTTTCTAGAAGTACAGACATAGCCCAACTACTTTCCTTACTGTTTTTTTTATTAAATATGAGGTGTACTTTTGTAAAATATATCCTCCTTATATCTTCATCCCTTGTCCGTCTTTTTCTTACTTATTTCTTTAAAAGGAAAACTAAATGCCACAAGACTAGATTTTGTTGGCAACTAAATATTCTACATAAATGTCGCTCTTAGAATTTCAGATAGGGTACTCAAAGCCATTATTCGTATGATTTCATCGTCCTTTTCCAACGTTACCGGATCTTTGTTCAGATCACTCGGAATAAATTATTTGTTTGGTGGTTAACTTTTTCGACATATTTAAAGATTTATTACACACATTTTCCAACAGAAAGGCCTATAATTCGGCTTTTTGAGGAAAATCACTTTCAAAATAAACGGTTCATATAAAGTTTCCGCCTCTATCTTCGGTTTACTGGAAGCTATGCCGAATTTCGTAATATCTAATTATATATTTTTCTGGTGGAAAATATGAAAATAGTTAGTCAAAGTGCCATTAGTTTTCTCATTCCTGGTCTTATCCTTAAGGAAGTTTTACAGAAATGATACAAGAATGTTTGATGAAGAACAATATTTTCTTGATTCTCTGTGGCATTGCCTTAGAGAATATTTGTGTGGAGTAAAGACAAATTACAACAAGAAATTGGAATGCCGAAAGTAGTTGAAATTATTTGTTCACCATGAAATTGATGTTGAAAATCAAAAATGTTTCCTCAAGGCAAATAGCATTAATGTAACCACAATGTACATATTAAATGTATATATTTATATAAATTGTGTGTAACGACATCAATACTAATATCAATTTTCTTACTTACCTTTCATTACAGATTTAATGGTCTTCTTGCTTCTGAAGGATTTATCGAAAAACTTTAAAGTTTTGGCTTTCGTTGCATAAATAACCGCCCTTCGAAGGCGGTGGTGGTTGGTTGGGCTTCATTCTTAATTTCAACTTTTGTTCCTTAAGTTTTTGTTCTCAACATTCAAACTAGAGCTACGCTGTAAAACTTTACTACTTCTACCACCAATCAAACGTTTCACATTTATCATCACCATCATCCTGTCAAGCATCAAGTTGATATCGTCATGGATCATGCTGTGAAAGCTACACGTGGTCGTCCTTGGAATACCCTGCGTTTCGAAAATGATGAACTGGAGTGTCTGTATCAACGTTACACCCTTAAATTGCAACGATTTTCGGTGCTGGGAGTGGTGGCCCTGGTTGTGGTGCTATGTGGTGTAATGGCCGCCTTATCCTTTGTCTACAATTACACTGCAACATTTCATGTAAGTGTTGGAATGGCCTTAGAATTATTGCAAGTGTGATTTATAAGAATTTCATCATCATTGTTGTTTCTTTTTTTACAGAATGTCTTCAATTCATTTGTGTGCCTACTATTTGCCATAATTTTAATTTTGTTGCAATGTCGCGTGATCAAGGATCATCATTTACCCTGCCTTTGCTATGGCATTCTATTATTTACTGCTGCCATTTGTTTTGTTTCGATGCCGACATTGGGTTCCATATTTCCGGTTGACACCAAGGAGGTAAGTTTCAGTTTTTTTGTGAAAATAATTTTTGGGTCAAAGGTGTTTTTTGGAAGTTAAATATTTTGGCAGTGTTATTGCATTTTAGAAATTGTTTTAAATACATATATATATATAGATTAGTTTTTGTACAGACGGCTTTAAATGTTAACATGAAATGTTTGACATGAAGTTTTTAGCTAAATAATAAATTAAGGAAAAGGAAAAAATATTTATGTCTGCCAATGTTGGGCGGAGTTGTAAAACAATTTTAAAATTTGGTTTTAATATTTGTTCTAAGAGGGACTTATATCATGAAAAAAGATTAAATACAATTACAATTAAATATAATTCCACTTTAATACAAATACAATTAATTTTCCATAATACTCATAATACTTGTTAACAACAATAGACAATTAATGTTATTTCATAAATTAACAACAACAAAAACGAAAATAAAAATACGTCCTTTTTACCCGCACACAATACACATGTATGTATTGCACATTATGTATCCACATCATCACTTAGTTACAGTAATTAATTAAACATATTTAATTAATTGCATATTCAAATTATTTTCTTTGAAAAAAAAAAATAAAATAAACAGAAGGATGCAGCCGAGGTAATAAATTGTAAAACCGTAAAAATTTTGAAAAACAAAAGTAAAATTAAAATCATTATTGGATTGTAGTATACAATAGGAGTCATTAAAGTCATGTAATTTATTGCAAAAAAAAGCACACACACAAACACAAAAGCAACAACAACAAATGTTACATTGGCTATTAATATCATTATCACGCTTTTAAGCTATCGTCGTTAAGATCGGTGGCACTTTATTCCAAGATGAACATTCAAAATACTTGTAATGATTCGAGACATTCATAAATTACACCCAATGAGAACCAAATTAGAGCAAATTATGTTAAAAACGTACTCGAAATACCGAATAATGGGGAGTGCCGATATCGATATGTTAGATAGGTTTGCTAACAAATGGGAACTTAAAGTAACAATTACAGGCAATTCAGTTGAAAATGTGCCAAAAAAATCCCCAAACTTCGAAACAGTTGGGGGTGAGAGCCAAAACCAAAACGTGGACTGATATATACCAGCTCTACCAATCCTTTTAAAACAAATTATTTATTACATCATAGTAGATATGTATTATGGCTTTGTGCATATGTTTGTAAAAGGCAAAAGGAAACGAGATAGACACATTGTTCCTTTTGAGAATATGCATAGAATCACTTTCTGAGTCGATTTATGCATGTCCGTCCGTCCGTCTGTCCGTCTGTAGATGCTAAATTCTAAACAAAGTACAGGTCGCATTTATGATCCGATTTGAATGAAATTTGGCACTTATTTGGCCCAAGGACGAACCATATTGAAATTGGCAAAAATCGGTTAAGATTTAGATATACCATATATATTTTCGCCCGATGTAGGCACCAAATTACCTATATATCTTTCGATTGGCACAAAATTTGGCATAGCGTACTGAGTTAGGTTCAGAATGATGTGTGCTAAGTTTCGTGAAAATCGGTTGAGATTTAGATACAGCTCCCATATATATTTTCGTCCGATTTAAGGTAAACGGGGCACCAAAGTCCCTAAATATCTTTCGATTTGCACGAAATTTGGCACAGCGTACTGAATTAGGTCCAGAATGATGTGTGGCAAGTTTCGTGAAAAGATTTAGATATAGCTTCCATATATATTTAGATATAGCTTCCATATATATATATATATATATATATTCGTCCGATTTAAGGTAAACGAGGAACCAAAGTCCTTATATATATCTTTCGAGTTGCACGAAATTTGGCATAGGGTACTGAAATAGGCCCAGAATGATGTGTGCTAAGTTTCGTGAAAATCGGTTCAGATTTAGATATAGCTCCCATATATATTGTCGTCCGATTTAAGGTATATGGTGTAGTAAAGACCCTATATATCTTTCGATTTGCACGTAATTTGGCATAGCGTACTGAATTAAGTCTAGAATGACGTGTGCTAAGTTTCGGTTCAGATTTGGATATAGATCCCATATACATTTTCGACCGATTTATTATAAATGGTTCACCAAATTTCCAATATATCCTTCGATTTCCATGAAATTCGCCATAGCGTACTGAATTAAGTCTAGAATGATGTGTGTAAAATTTGTTGAAAATCGGTTTAGATTTAGATATAGCTCTCATATATATGTTCGCCCGATATGATGTAAATGGTATACCAAGGTACCTATATATCTCTCGATTTGCACGAAATTTGGCATAGCATACTGGATTGAGTCTAGAATGATGTGTATAAAATTTGTTGAAAATCGGTTCAGATTTAGATATAGCCGATTTTAAGTAGGACCCAAAATATGGCCATTAGAAACAAAACCTGCTGAAATTAGTACAACCTAACCTGCGACAAGTTTCGTTGAAATTGGATATAGCTTCCATATCTATTTTCATCCGATTTTAAGTAAATGGTGCACCAAACTCTTCATCTTTGTAATATTGACATGAAATTTTGTACAACGTACACAATTGAGCATTTTGATATTTGCTTTAAATCGATTTACATAATTTTGTCCCATTGTAACAAACGAATGACATTTTTATGGATTGATCTCGGTCGGTTCACATTTAGATAAAGGTCATATATTTTAGTTCATCCAATTTCATGCCCTTCGTTTAATGTATAGTCGGCCCCGTCCGACTTTACTACTTTCCTTACTGGTTTATATATAAAAAAAAGTTATTTCATTTTATCAAAAAAGAACTCAAAACTACGATATAAATAACTTGGCGGGTATGTGGACCAGTAAGTTAAGAAGCATGCTGTGGATTGTCTGTGATCAAATTATATTCATTTCAATCTTAGGTAAAAATGAATGCAAAAATACATGGGTTTTTAAAGTCCCAGCTTTATTATCCAACTGAAAACAGCTGTAAATTCCTATAAGGAGACCAATTCGAAATATGGACAAATGGGTATCCATAAAAAGGTTCCGATTTTTTATAGTGGTTCACATTACCAGATTTGTTATTACAAAAACCATCTTCGGCTTAAAAAATAAATCAAAATTAATGCTCACTGAGCTAAACGTACATTTTTGTTGTGGAAAGTAAAGATCCATATAACTTAATATTTGAGAAAATCAAATTGTTTGCCCCTTGGCTAAAAAATTTTCAAATCACAGACTTCAATCAGATCTTAACACATGGCAATTATGTATTTAAAACTATGCTAGTTCTTTGTTTTCACTAATTAGGAAATCATATATCAAGGCGGCGTTGTCATATTTCAAGCATGTTCTAAGTTATGGGGGTTGTTCACATTAGACGCTCATTTGACCGAAGTTCCTCTAAAACGTGTGTGCCACATTTCAAAGCTAATGTTCGAATTTAAATATTTATTTAATTTCAATCCCAGGGTCTTACAAGTCGCGACATAGTTTTGTAAACTTTTGATAAGCGTCTCATTAGACTTCCATTTGTAATCTTATTCATATTTAAAAAAGCAAATTTTTATCATTTAAAAAAAATCAAACTTAATAGCCTAATTTTTAAAAATCTACACGTAAAGCTCGACGACTCTTTCCAAATATTTTTAAAACATGCACTACTAAAAGTCAAAAATGTCTTAAAAATATTTGGTTAATATTTTTAAATAATATATATTTTTCATATAAACCAGTGAACGGAGCAGTATAGTCGGATGGAACCGACTATATGATACCCTTCACAACTACTACTGAAATCTAACTTTCTGTGGTTCTGGCCACGCTCAATATTCTAAATAGTTGCCCAGATCTCCAACTCCGTATAAAATTTGTAATGTTCGGCTTAGAAAAGTAGTTTCTAGAGCGTCTTGAGGAACAAACTGATCATCGAAAATACTATGCGTTGTCCTAGACCATGACTAGAACTTCAAGTAAAATTTCAACCTAATCACCTCGAAATTTTCGGTCTCTAGTGTGGTAATAGTAATACTAACAATATTATTGCACATAGACACTGGTACATAATTTAGTACAATTTATAAATTTAGTAGTAATTTACCAATTTAAAGGTCAACGACTCCTCTTGGATATAATATCAACATATCCGTTCAATGTCCTTAAGAGTAATATGCAATATTTAATGTAAAAGTGTGGGTTAATTTGCCCAGCTAAATACTGACCGATTATCATGAAAACGCCCACGCTTATTCCATGGACATATTGATTTCATCCTGCAAAATGTCGGTATGTTCGGGCGACCAGAAAAACATACAAAAATAAAGTTTTGGTACATACATTAACCGATCATTACATGCAAAATTTTGTGATGATTGGTCCATAACTGTGGCCTGTATCGTGTTTACAAATTATAATGAGATATGTAGATCGGTGTGCTAGAAGATCGGCGGGTGGTGGGCACACAAAGCTGTAATAATAATAATGTGTAGGGTATACGAATATTTTATAAATAAAATCTACTATTATGGCTTGAATGATTCCATGGAAGAATATCGCAAACAAATACTTAAGTCCGCAATTATAGTCTTATTTGACATTCTCGAAAGTAATCAATTTTAATTTTAAAAGGGAATTTTAAATATATCTCTTATAGTTCAAAGATTGCTAAAAAAGTATTTTAAAACCCGTGAGCGGAGCAGTATAGTCGGACGGGGCCGACCATAAGATACCCTACACAACTTTCACGAAAATCTAACATTGTGTGGTTCTATATTCTGATCTTGGACAATATTTGCACTCTCTTGACCTTTACCGTGGGTTATGTTCGGCTTTCAATTGTGGCCTGTGGTTTTCGGTCCACTTTATCCCAATATTATTATCTGATCATCACCGGAAATTATAAGCGCTGTCCTTGAGCATACCTGGATCCTCATGGAAAATTTCAAAGCGATCAACGCTATATATTCGCCCTCTAGTGTGGTAATGGGTTACTAAATAATATTTGAATACGTAAGCACCTGTAAATATTTAAGTGTAACTCCCACATCCGAGTAAATACGACAATGTAATTGGTATCAATTTAAAGGTCAACCACTCCTCTTGGATATTCTATCAAATTCTTGGGTCTTTGTTCTTCAGCGGTAAATATATAGGTCATAGAATACAAATTTTGTCATTTTTCACACCAAAGTCAGGGCTCATTTGACCCGCTAAATATTGACCGATCAAAGCATGCATGCTTATTCTCTGGCCCGATCCCCTTTTCCATGCAAAAATTCGCGGGGATTGGGTCATAATTGCGGCCTCTGGAGCGACCAGAAAAACCGACAACATAGTTGTGTAGGGTATAAAAACTGGCTTATAAACTGAAGAATTTAATGATTATACATCCAAACAGTCCGTTCGGAAAGCACTTTTTTTAAAAAATACTCAAAATATAGCTCGACGGCTAAAAAAACGACTTATCTAAATTGCTTCAATATATTATATATATTTTGAAAAAAATAGGCTTAAAGTCAGAATAGCTTTTCAAAATAATTGTAACAAAACAAATTTAATGCTTGTAGATGAATTTGTTTGTTAAAAAAAACAAGCACATAGCTTTCTCGAAGACAATTAAATAATGCACTCTCATGCCTCGAATACTCATTTCAATAATTATAAGTATATGATACTACAATCATAAAATATTATCACGTTTAAGACATAGAAAACACAAAAATAAAATCATTTTAATTCTTAGAATATAGTTAGAAAGACACATAAAAAAGTGTAGAAAATAAAAGGATAAGAAATCGTAAAAAGCTCACAATTTAAATAGATCTTTAGCATCATTCTTAGTAATATCTCTAGATTTAGTTTGATTACTTTTCTTCAAATATGGTTATCCCCTGTTGATTTTAATAATTTTGCGAGATTTACATTTCATTTTATCTTTTTTCTCCCATTTATTTTCAACAGGTCATGGCCGAAGGTGTATGGCAAATAGTGTTTGTGGTCTTTTTGGCTTATGCCATGATGCCATTACAAATCTGGGAAGCTGTTTGCTTTGGCATTACACTACCCCTGGTGCACATCAGTTTGACTGTCTATAAAATATTTACAGATGCATTTCGTTATTTGGAATATAATCAGGTAAGTGCAGCAAAAGGTTGGATGGCTGGCTGGTGGGTTGACTCACTATGAATGTCTGGCCTGGCTAGAGAGAAATTTGCTTTATAAATAATTGCATATAAATTGAATTGGAATGCTCGAATGGTTATTAAATTTAGTGGTTGGCCAAGTGCAGTCAAAACACATGTCTGTTTAAAAACACAGAGAGAGACGTCGACAAACAGACAAGTGGTTTGAAAGGTAAATTAACATAAAATGAACAACATTGCCAGCGAGCAATTTTTTGTCTGCAAAGTTTTTTGTATATCTGCCGGCAGACAGTTAATTTTCAGGGACAATTTTTTATCCAACTTAACATGAACATGGATAAATAAAACAAAAAGACAACATAGTAACATGTGTTGGTAGTATACCAACAATTTGTATACAATTACATACATACAGAAGCACAAAATTAAGTAAATTTCCAATGTTTGTACGTAACAGGAAATGTTTTCATTTCCTTGTTCTGGTGACCTATCCTCATATTTATTAGCCTTTGTTCAAGAAAGGTCAACTGTCATGTAGTATTTATTCATTTGCTGACAGACAGTCAGCTGTGGTTGTATGTTTTGCTTGATTAGCAGCCAGTCGGGCGTATGGGTAATGTTAACTGTAATCTGCTGTATAATTTAATATTCATACGCACCCGGGTACTTAACACAAAAATAACCCGTATTATTTATTCATAATGGGAAATTATATTAATGCTACGGCATGGAAATGTCAAATTAAATTGCAGAAAGCATAGTTAAATTGTTGTTTATATTTAAAAGTCAAAAGCAAGAATTTAAGAGAGAATGCTTAAGGGAACCCCCCCCCCTCCCTTCTCGATTTTAAGTTTTCAAGATTTTCAATGGGCTGGTAAATCAGTACCAATGCTTGTTAAACTTTGTAACTTTGCACTTATATATTTGAAGATTTAAAAGAGAAGAAAAATAATTTACAAAAAATTGTTGTTATTGTTTTGTTGTTGTTTTTTGTAATCAAAGAAAAGTCCTTATTTTTGATGGCGGGCATGATAAATCCTTACTGGAACATCGGAATCCGAAAATTCCAACGGTGGCTCTCGTATGAACTAGGATTATTGACTTCGCACTTCGCTCTAAAATTAACAAAATAGTGGACCTTTGAAAAACATATTTTTGGAAAATCGGCTTTATCCTAGTTCATACGGTAGCTATACACTCACAGAGAAACGTGTAAAAATTTGAAATCGATTGGGTTATTAGTTTTTGAGTTATCGTGCCCGCCATTCGCAAAAAAATGTTTAGAGAAAAACGCGTTTAAAGTTTGAGAAGCCCTTTAGCCGTCACTTGATGCTGACACAATAAATCGGCTATATCTTCAAGAGTTCTTGAGATTTTCATTTGAAATTTTGTAGGCACATTCTATAATTAGTGTAGATTCGCATTATATCAACAAAATTTTTGACCCCGAGAATGGGGGGGTCCCCTTAAAGACAAAGGTTGAAACGGTCTTCCCAAATCGGCCTTTGTGCCAAAGAACGTGTGATATATCTGGAGTGCAATTCTTTCATTAGCGCACATTCTAGGTTTTAAATCGTGTGTTGGACAATTTGAAAACCGAACAAAGGTACCCTACTTTGAGTATTTACCCAAAAATTGGGTATAAACTCATTAACTGGCGAACCACTTGGTCTATTTACCACGTTTACGCATTGTAGAGATGGTATTTAGCGGGTATTTACCGTGTAAATACCACGGCGGTGGATAAATTTGGGTATTTACTATATTGAATCGGTAATACAACATCTTACATCCTATTTCGTCCTGTGAAAGAGCTGCAAGTATTTTTCTTCCTTTGTGTAGAAGAGTTGCAGGTATTCTTCTTCCTGTGCAAGAGCTGCAGCTATTGTTCTTCCTGTGGAAGAGCTGCAGGCAATTTTCTTCCTATAGGAAAAATGGAGGTAGTTTCCTTCATATATGAAAGCTGTATGCATTCTTCTTTATGAAGAAGATTTGCAGGTATTCTTCTTCCTTTGAAAGAGCTGCCGATTTTCTGCTTCTTTCTAAAAGCAGAGGTATTCTTCCTTCTATAGCAAAGCTGCAGGTATTATTCTTCCTGCGGAAGCGCTGAAGGTATACTTCTTCCTGTGGAACAAATGCAGGTATTCTTCTTCCTGTGGAAGAGCTGCAGCTATTCTTCTTGCTGTGGAAGATTCGCAGCCATTCTTCTTCCTATGGAAGGTCAGCAGGTAATTTTCTTCCTATAGCAAAGCCGGAGGTATTTTCCTTCATATAGGAGAGCTTCGTGTAGAAGAGTTGCAGGTATTCTTCTTCCTGTGAAAGAGCTGCAGCTATTATTCTTCCTGTTTAAGAGCTGCAGGTAATTTTCTTCCTATAGGAAAACTGGAGGTAGTTTCCTTCATATATGAGAGCTGTATGTATTCTTCTTCGTGTAGAAGAGCTGCAGCTATTCTTCTTCCTGTGGAAGAGCAGCAGGTATTATTCTTCTTACAGGAGAGCTGCATGTAACTTTCATCCTATAGGAAAACTGGAGGTATTTTCCTTCATATAGGAGAGCTTCGTGTAGAAGAGTTGCAGGTATTCTTCTTCCTGTGCACTATTTGAACTATTTGAAGTTCTGTTTTTTCAAAAGTTCAGGTCATTTATTGAAACGGAAATGATCCACGGGAAATGCAATTAAATTACAGAAACATTTTGTGCCAAATTTCTTCCTATAGCAAAGCCGGAGATATTTTCCTTCATATAGGAGAGCTTCGTTTAGAAGAGTTGCAGGTATTCTTCTTCCTGTGAAAGAGCTGCAGCTATTATTCTTCCTGTTTAAGAGCTGCAGGTAATTTTCTTCCTATAGGAAAACTGGAGGTAGTTTCCTTCATATATGAAAGCTGTATGTATTCTTCTTCGTGTAGAAGATTTGCAGGTATTCTTCTTCCTGTGAAAGAGCTGCAGATATTGTGATTCTTTCTAAAATGGCATAGCTGCAGGTATTCTTCTTCCGCAGGAAGAAATGCAGGTATTCTTCTTCCTGTGGAAGAGCTGCAGCTATTCTTCTTCCTTTGGAAGAGCAGCAGGTATTATTTTTCTTACAGGAGAGCTGCATGTAATTTTCATCCTATAGGGAAACTGGAGGTATTTTCCTTCACATAGGAGAGCTTCGTGTAGAAGAGTTGCAGGTATTCTTCTTCCTGTGCACTATTTGAACTATTTGAAGTTCTGTTTTTTCAAAAGTTCAGGTCATTTATTGAAACAGAAATGATCCACGGAAAATGCAATTAAATTACAGAAACATTTTGTGCCAAATTTCGTGTTTTTGGAAGGCCAGTTCCCGCCAGGAATATAGGAATTTTCACGAGAAAGATTTTATTTCATCCGAATCGTAAAAAAGTCTACATACACACAATATATCTTAAATTACTCAGATTCGCGACTATAATAATCTTATAGCCGATTTTTAAAAATTCCTGTTTGCGTTTCAAAGCTAGAAGTAAAGTTAAAAAACACTCAAAATCGAGCTTCAAAATGTCAGCACCATTTAAAGGGAGGTGGAGTTAAAATTTAAAGGAAATGATACATAAGAGACGTAGTTGCCATTTTGTATGCTTTTAATTTTACTTTGACACGAAGACCGTGAAATGAGGTGCTTTGTCAAAAATCGATAGAAAACATAAAAAGGCTGGTTCGCCTCAACATTTTTATACCCTTCACCACACTGTGGTACAGGGTATTATGTCTTTGTGCATATGTTTGTAACAGGCAAAAGGAAACGAGATAGATACATGGTTCCTTTTGAGAATATGCATAGAATCACTTTCTGAGTCAATTTTTGCATGTCCGTCCGTCCGTCTGTAGATGTTAAATTTTAAACAAAGATCCGATTTGGATGAAATTTGGCATAGGTCACTTATTCGGCCCAAGGACGAACCCTATTGAAATTGGGAAAAATCGGTTCAGATTTAGATATAGCTCCCATATATATATATTTAACCGATTTCATGTAAACGGTCCCTATATATCTTTCGATTTGCACGAAATTTAGTACAGCCTAATCATTTAGCTCTAGAATGATGTCTGCCAAGTTTCGTGAAAATCGGTCCAGATTTATATATAGCTCCCATATATAGTTTCGTCCGATTTCATGTAAATGGTGCACAAAAGTCCCTATATATATTTCGATTTGCACGAAATTTGGCATAACGTACTGAATTGAGCCTAGAATGATGTCTACCAAGTTTCGTGAAAATCGGTCAAGATTTAGATATAGCTCCCATATATAGTTTCGTCCGATTTTAGGTAAATGGTCCACCAAAGTCCCTATATATCCTTCGATTTGCACGAAATTTGGCATAACGTACTGAATTGAGCCTAGAATGATTTCTGCCAAGTTTCATAAAAATCGGTCAAGATTTAGATATTGCTCCCATATATAGTTTCGTCCGATTTTAGGTAAATGGTCCACCAAAGTCCTTATATATTCTTCGATTTGCACAAAATTTGGCATAACGTACTGAATTCAGCCTAGAATGATGTCTGCCAAGTTTCGAGAAAATCGGTCCTGATTTCTATATAGCTCCCATATATAGTTTCGTCCGATTTCATGTAAATGGTGCACTAAAGTCGCTATATATCCTTCGATTTGCACGAAATTTGGCATAACGTACTAAATTGAGCCTAGAGTGATGTCTGCCAAGTTTCGTGAAAATCGGTCCTGATTTAGATGTAGCTCCCTTTTATTATAGATTGTTTTTAAGTAATTGACGCACCAAGGAATCAATAGGCTGATAGGAACAAAATGTTCTGAAATTAGTATAACCTAACCTGTGACAAGTTTGTTTGAAATCGCTTAATATTTGGATAGAGCTTCCATATATATTTCCGCCCGATAGTCCTGTTTAATATACCCATAGTGGTGAAGCCGACTATCATATAGTCGGCCCCGTCCGACTTTACTACTTTCCTTACTGGTTTACATTAAAATAGACACAGCTACCACCCGAATAAAGTTTGGAGGTCAATATCATAAAGAATTTGCAACGACAGATCAATAAACCTAAAACTATTCACTTCTTTTCATATACTTATGTAATTCCCGAGTTATAAAGGGATGAACCTCGCTTCATATATGTTAAAAAATTGGCAATATTGCCCATAATATTAAAGCCCATATGTAATTCCGAAGATCTCCACAAACCATAGGATGAGGGTATATATTTCTTGGCAACACAGACTGACACTGTTTTAATTGTTTGTATAGATGAATGCCAACCGTCAACAACCCGATATGCTATATTATAGCCAAACTGCAGGGCTGATATTACTACCAACATAACAGGCAAACAATTCCAAAATAGGTAAATCACTATCTGATATATTGCAAGTTGTATCGTGATTTTAATGAATGACAAATTTTAAATACAATTCACAAGCATGTGTAAACATGTAGGCATTTCCAGCAAATGGCTTCTATCACAAAAATTAAATTAAAAAGATCTAAGGGTGTATTATAAAAACTGTAATTATGTGTGACTTATTTAACATTTAAAGTTTAATTATTCCTCCGAAAGTCGTGTAAGTGACCGCAGAAGTGCTCATATGTAATCCATATAACTTGACGACATTGAGGCACATTTTCAGGGACACTAAACAGGCATTAAACAACGTTTCCATTTGTTTAAATGCACAATAAAAATATTGGACCACAACAAATTCGATTGTTATCTCCTTCACGTAATTCTGTAGAATATTTGTGACGTACTAGTAATATATCTCACAGACAACCTATATAACTTATACGCACATGTGTTTACAACATTTCCCATAAAATATACCAATTAATTATAATTTTTACATATATATCGTATTTAATTTGTTATTGTTGTTTTTCTGTTTTATTATTGCAGCTTATTGCCAACATTGTTATGTTTATTGGTGTTAATGTCGCCGGTCTAGTCGTTAATATTATGATGGAACGTGCACAGCGTCGTGCATTTTTAGATACACGAAATTGCATTGCCGCCCGTCTCGAAATTCAGGATGAAAATGAGAAATTGGAAAGACTTTTATTGTCGGTACTACCTCAGCATGTTGCAATGCAAATGAAAAATGATATCTTATCGCCGGTTGCGGGGCAATTTCATAGAATCTATATACAGAAACATGAGAATGTCAGGTGAGTGAATATTAATTAATAATAACATTAAATTAATGAATTTAAAAAATTTAACAAAGAGGAAGCAAAATATCACATTACGAGATATTTTGGTTTAATATGATTTATCCCTTTTTGAGAAATGGTTTGTCAATATTTCTGTACGGTTTTAATATTTATATCCTCGATAATTTTGTTTGACTAAAAGTTTAACTTTATAAATCAACCATGAAGTATAATGAATTTCCACAACTGCCTTATTTATTAATTTCTTTTTGAATCACCACATAATTATTTATTAATTTTAAAACATAATTCAAACATATTATCTTCGTTGCTGTTTATTATCTTCCAAATTACAAATAAAATAAACAAATTACTTTATTTGTTTTATTTTACCACAATGTGTGTATTATTGTTGAATATATATATATATATATTTTTATATATACAAAATATTTCGTACATATATTATGCATATACAAAAAAATATGAATAAATAAACCAACCATGAAGATAAATCCAAACAATGCCAAACTATTTATGCCACATTTTACAATAATATTTTTTCAATAGACAAACAAAATAAATTGTGTCTAAACACACAAATAATATATGTGGCAGAATTTGTTTTTTTTTTTCAATAAATGTAATATTTAAAATTATCAAAATGTTCAAAGGAATTTTTAAACACTAGCTGTTTATATTATAGTCTTCATTAAGATTTAATTCAACGCAAGAATAACCATTGTGTCCTTGATCTTTTGTATACCCTCAGCCACAACCTGGAGTGTTTATTAAATTTGTCATTTTGTCCGCAAGTATTCTTTGGAAATTTTATAACTTATACAAGGGCTGCTATATACATATTGGGTCAAGGCAACGCTCTGGCTCAAAGAAAACGCTTATGCCAACCAATTTTTTAACAAATAAAAAAATGTCAGTCGGTCGATGAAATTGAATTTTCCGTTCGTTTCATATGATATTAACAACCTGGAGGAGGTAATTATGGAGTGAACCGATAAGGCTCACCTTCAGTCTTAGTTAAAATGTTAGGTTGTACACACGTTGCTTCACATCGGATACTTCAATCGCATTATATTATAAACTAAATTTTAATGATAATTTTATGGAAAATACCAGAAGGAGAAGACCATCTTCGAATATAGTCGAAAGTTCGGAAAAATATTACTATGTGCTAAGTATGGATGAAATCGGCCAGACATACAAGCTTTTGTAATCGTCTCCAAGTTGTTTGAATCAGATTTGGTTCAAAGACCGGTTTGTCCATAATGCTGAGGGCATAAACATACTATAACGATGCTTTAAAACAAAATGATCCGAACCATACAAGGGAATATATATATATATATATATATGTGAAATATGTACTTCGGCAAAACTATTCGTGTGACGTCTGTTCCAATTGAATAACGTATGAGATCAATTCTGAGTTGTACACCACATTCGTACACGAAACATTCGAAAAACAAATATTTTTGACCGGACAAAATGTGGAATTGAATTACCTGACGGACTAGGTACCAAATGGCTTCTTTTTATTTTCGAATATTAAGAAAAAATTGTGTGATTAACGATTTTTGGTCACCAAAAGATTCGGAGAAAAATGTCTCCTCAAAAAATCGCAATATTCGTTTACAAAAAATGTTTCAAATTGTTTTAATATACCCTTCACCACACTGTGGTACAGGGTATTATGTCTTTGTGCATATGTTTGTAACATGCAAAAGGAAGCGAGATAGCCCCATGATTCCTTTTCAGAATGTGCATAGAATCACTTTCTGAGTCGATTTATGAATGTGCGCCCGTCCGGTGGAAAATTGTAAACAAAGTATAGGTCGCATTTATAATCCGAATTGGATGAAATTTGGCACAGTTAATTTATTTGGCCTAAGGACAAACTCTATTGAAATTGAGAAAAATCGGGTCAGATTTATATAGTTTCAGCCGATTTTCAGTAAATGGTGCACTAAAGCAACAAAATATGCCGATTGGCACACAATTTTGCACAACGCACTGAAGTTGATAAAACCTACTGTGGGTAAAGATTCGTTGAAATCGTCCGATTTAATGTAAACGGTACCTATATATATTTCGATTTGCACGAAATTTGGTACAGCGTAATGAATTAGGTCTAGAATGATGTGTGTCAAGTTTCCCGAAAATCGGTTCAGATTTGGATATAGCTCCCATATATATTTTCGTCCGATTTAAGGTAAATGGTGTACCAAAGTCCCATATATCTTTCGATTTGCACGAAATTTGGTACAGCGTAATGAATTAGATCTAGAATGATGTGTGTTAAATTTCGTGTAAATCGGTTCAGATTTAGATATAGCTCCCATATATTTTTTCGTCCGATTTAATATAAATGGTGTACCAAAGTCCTTATATATCTTTCGATTTGCACGAAATTTGGCATAGAGTTCTGAATTAGGTCAAGAATGATGTGTGCTAAGTTTCGTGAAAAGCGGTTCAGATTTAGATATAGCTCCCATATATATTTTTGTCCGAACCAAAGTACCTATATATCTTTCGAGTTACACGAAATTTGGCATAGCGTAATGAATTTGGTCAAGAACGATGTGTGTTAAGTTTCCTGAAAATCGGTCCAGATTTAGATATAGCTCCCATATATATTTTCGTCTGATTTAAGGTAAACGGTGTACCAAAGTCCCTTTATATCATTCGATTTGCACAAAATTTGACAAAGCGTACTGAATAAAGTCTAGAATGATGTGTGCTCCTATATTATTTTTCTTCCGATTTTATGTAAATTGTGCACTAAAGACCCAAAGTTTGTCCGATTGCCACACAATTTTGTACAATGAACTGTAGTTAATATAAATTAATCAATGGCAAGTCTCGTTGAAATCGGTTAAGATTAAGATATATGTTTTCCGTGTGTTGAATTTCTTTGTTTCTCAGTCTGAGGGTCTTTAATTTGGTGTTCAATCGTAGTACTTTTACATATCCAAAACAACACACAAACACTTAAATTTATCTTCACATTATATCTTTAGGGAAAATTCCATATACACTAGCAGATTTAAAACGTCACAAATTCCACAGAAATCACAAAGAAAACTTGTGTTATTTCTGGTATAATGACATTATAAATCAATCCATGTGCCTGGACCGACTCTATGAATAACACTAATCCATCACCTGTTTTTTATTCTGTTTGTTTGTTTTGATAGCAATTCAAAAATAACATCAATTCTGTATTTTTTGCCGATCATCTGGACGTATGAGTATTTATGTCTTAGCCAACTGGGCAGCATTCATACGCAGTATGAGACCAAAAAAACGAGCATTTACTTAAGATGAAAATCTGTTTTAAAACTAATTGTTTTGCTATTTAGGAATGATAGGTATCATCTAAATGATATTTTTTCATATGAAAAACAATTAATTTAAAATTAAATGATAAAAATTAAAAATGATACAATGGAATGTGTAACCATAACAACACTATTCTTCACATGTTTGTAAAAGTAGTGTGTGAGTTTATAGTTAGTACATATAGTACATGAGTATCCAAGCAATCGAATCAACGTCGTTTTCGAAACCAATTGACTGTCAGTGGCAATGTCTAAACAAATCGATTTATTTAGCCAAAATATAAATTACATACAAATCATTTAGAAAGCTAGAAAAACATTCCATCCAAATCAAACGAATGCAACGCATCAATCAAAAATATTTAATGTCTGATATGTGTTTGGTAAATTTAAAACACAACACTGTGACATACATATCTATAAACAAATATGTCAATGATAAATATATCTACATTGAATGATTTTAAAATGTAGGACGTGACATTTAAGGTCACAAAATTTATTATATGTATAATTTTAAATTTGTTTTAAATTCGGTAAATTGTTTCTCCGTAGATTGTTCATAATCTGGGAGTAGAAATAGCCTTTTTGGATATGAATACTCTTATAAAGTATACGAGAGCTACAATAAGTATTGCCGGGGCATAATAATTGTTTTCCAAAGTATGTTCCAGCATGATCTCGAAACACTATTTCGACTACGATTTACACATCTACAATCCACGGGTTTTGAAGCTTTCAACTATATCTTCTGGCGACGAAATAGAAATAATTCATTTGGTGTCATGTCTGTGTTGTACGTTGTATGACCCATAAATTCCAGGTCAAACTGAAGCAGGTTTAAGCCTATTATGACATATAATAATTGGTTTTATTGAATTCTAATTTCTTCGAAGACTTCAGGCAATCAAATTGTGGTGTACTATTCAGAATTGGTTATTTCTAGGTTTCAAAAGTTCAACAGTCGCCAACTGACATTTTTTTGCAAGAAACATGCGATTGCCGGGCGACTTCGGTTTTGTTTCGGGCTCATACACATACATCCTTCATTGGTCACTTCTGACGATCTTATAGAATGGCATGAGGTCTATTTTTGCGATTTTCAAATTGTGAGGAATTTTCATCAGTTAATTCCATTTTTGGCATATTGACTTTTAAGTTATTTGGAGGACTATACTCTTTTGATTGATCGTCTACCTCAAATTTGAGATAGGCCTTAAAGTTCGTTTTAGGGACTGGTAGACAAGGGAGTTCCAGTTCTGTTTTCAATTTTTTCCTATATAGTGGAGGATATATTAAATTTATCATTCTGAACTCCTCGACATCTGGCCATTTTGGCCAAGACAGAGTATATTAAAATTTTTCTGTATTTGGAAACGCGGGTATATATTACACATGAAAACAATCACTAAGGAAAGTAGTAAAGTCGGGCTGGGCCGACTGTATGATACCCTTCACCACTTTGGGTATATTCTACATATGGGTATTCTCATTTTTTAATTCCATTAAAACAATTGTTTTGATTTGATCTTTATCAATAAATGAACCGACTAACATCAATCCATATACATGCTTTTCTGCAACCTATGCAGAAAATGGGACACATTTGGGTAAATCGATTGATACATACTATTCGATAATGTCAATCAGACACCCGTTCGAAACATATATGGAAGCCATGTCTGCATCTGCACCCATTACAAAAAAATCGGACGGTATATATGCAAATCTATATAGGGTCTCGGGTGCACCATTTAAATTAAATCGGACGAAAATATATGTGGGAGCTATATCTAAATCTGAACCGATTTTCACGAAACTTCGCACACATCACTCTCGGCTTAATTCAGTACGCTGTGCAAATCGCAAAAATAGGGACTTTAGTGCACCATTTACCTTAAATCGGACGAAAATGTATATAAAGCTATATCCACATTTGAACCGATTTTCTGGAAACTTAACACACATCATTCTATACCTAATTCATTACGCTGTGCCACATTTCGTGTAAATCGAAAGATATATAGGTGCTTTGGTGCACCATTTACATTTAATAGGACGAAAATATATATGGGAGCTATATCTAAATCTGAACCGATTTTCAGGAAACTTATCACACATCGTTGTAGACCTAATTCATTGCGTTGTGCCAAAATGAGCTGTGCCAAATTTCATCCAAATCGGATCATAAATGTGAACTGTACTTTGTTTACAATTTATCATGGACAGACACACGGTCGGACATGCATAAGTCGACTTAGAAAGTGATTCTATGCATTTTCTCAAAAGGAACCGTGTGTCTATCTCGTTTCCTTTTGCATGTTACAAACATATGCACAAAGACATATTACCCTGTACCACAGTGTGGTGAAGGGTATAATTAGCATCGTTTTACTTTTTAATATATATCTAACCGCCCCGGCTGAAGTTTTTATATCCCCTACCATGCGACTGACAATCAAAATATCTAAAATAATGAGGGCTCCTAGGAGAAATCTCATGTTATGATAGGATCTTCAACATACCCAATAATCCGAAAAAGACGATTGAAATTCTCAAAATATCTAATATGGGGTCTACCGTTATATGTGGCCACAATAAAACGGGGATCAATATTTATATTTTTGCTAGTAAGATTTGACAGTAATATTATGAGAACCCAAAATACAAATAAGAGCCAATTAGATTGAAAAATGTGTCAAATTGGTGTGAATCGATTCAAATTTAAAAATATTTCCAATATATCCTTGTCCAATTCAAAAATTCTGAATTTCTTATCCCGATATTAGGTTGCTGTCTCCATTTCTAAACATGGAACGAACATTGAAATCAAAAGTTGAATTTTTCTTATAATTCGTTTGTGACACATTTAGATGTAAACCCCAATATTATTTATAATTATCCTTAATATAATCCTTTGCTCATAATATTTGGTTTTTCCATTTACAGCATTTTATTTGCCGACATTGTGGGTTTTACGGTGCTATCGTCACAGTGCAGTGCACAGGAATTGGTGAGACTGTTAAATGAACTTTTTGGAAGATTTGATCAATTGGCGCATGTAAGTATTCCCAGGCTCCTCTCTCAATCCTTATGTGCTGGTAAAAAACTACTATTTATCTTGCAGGACAACCATTGTTTGCGCATTAAAATCTTGGGAGATTGTTATTATTGTGTTTCGGGTTTGCCGGAACCACGTAAAGATCATGCCAAATGTACAGTAGAAATGGGTTTAGATATGATAGATGCTATTGCGTAAGTTCACGGAGAATTTTACGAGAGAAGAACATTTGCTTTAACTAATGAAAATATATTCATTTATTCCATAGTTCTGTTGTTGAGGCCACCGATGTTATGTTAAATATGCGCGTAGGCATTCACACGGGTCGCGTTTTGTGCGGTGTCTTGGGCCTGCGTAAATGGCAATTTGATGTCTGGTCCAATGATGTAACATTGGCCAATCACATGGAATCGGGTGGTGAACCGGGTAGGGTACATGTTACCCGTGCCACCTTGGACGCTTTGTCCGGGGAATATGAAGTTGAGGCTGGTCATGGTGATCAGCGATCTTCATATCTAAGAGATCATGGTGTGGATACATATTTCATTGTACCACCACCACATAGGCGTAAGGTGGGATATATTTTTGTAATATTTTATTTCAAAAAGAAAAATAAAATATCGTAAATTTTATTACAGCCCTTAATGCTCAACACCTTGGGTGTACGTTCCGCCATTGGATCTCGTCGAAAACTATCCTTCCGCAATGTCTCGAATGTTGTCATGCAGCTGTTGCACACCATCAAGTTTTCCGAACCAGTACCATTCTCCAATATTGCCACCGGCTCATTTCCCTCGACCGGAGGAAATGCCAGCGGTCGTGGTAGTACCAGCGGTGGTGATGGCCAATTGGAAAAAGGATCACGAAAGGTAAGTTTGACCAACGTTTGCTTAACAGTGTAGTGCAAAAAATATTCCTTTCGCCCCCCAACAAATATACTAATCCAAAGTTTATTTTTAAAGAAAGCAAATTTCAAAGATAAATATATAAAATATAGCAAAAAATATATATTTTAACAAATAGAATGTAGTTCAATTAAATATATACAATTTTAGAATTTTATTTGCATGCAAATTTTTAATAAAATAAAAAACGATTACTAACCACTTTTATATATACAAGAAATAATTATTAGACAAAGCAGTTGCTTTCAAACCAAAACAAAAGAACTAAACTATAACACTTTACACAGCAATTAGCCTTTATTAATTAAGTTCTTTCCGTTTTTTCCTTTTCTTTTTTGTGGCTTCTTCATTTCTTTTTCGGTAAACAAAAATTGGCAACACTTCTCCACTTTGTTTTATTTTTCCCTTTCCCCATATCGTTTTATCTTCTGTATGGCTTCTGACACTCCTCTACACACAATTGAAACTTAATTTCCGTTTTTCACAACAACTACAACAAAATTTGTTTCTAAATACCTTTTAAAAAATCTTCTTAAAATTGATATTCTTTTATAAATAAAACAAAATTATTTCTTTATATTTTTATTATTTTTTTAAATTTTTATTTCTTTTTCTTCTTCTTTTTTCTCTCTCCTATACTTTAATGTATTCTTTGTGGTTTTATGTTGTGTTACTGTTGTAATTTATTCCTCTATTACAGGATGCGGTAAGTGTTCTATGGTGTTTTCTTTTCCATCTTTTCTTTCGAACCTTTTTTCCGAGCAATTGACAATTAACAAGATTGAGTCCATATTTTCATTATATCTGAATATTGGGCCTTACAATTCCTAGGCCAAGTCAAAATTAAGATTTTTCAAATTTCGATATTGTACATAGAGATGTTGAAAATGGGACTTAAATTTTATATATAAAAAAATACAACTAACAAAACTGAACACAATTCGGAGGTTTGGAGGCAGTGTAAAAGATAAGGGGTTAAATTTATACAGATCCGAAATTTGCATGCATAATTAGATGCATAAGAAATGCATCTAATTTTAGAAATGTCTTAAATTCTATGCTAAAATTCCCTAACATGCAAGGTTCTACACTGAACATTTTAGGAGAGTTTACATCTCCTCTTCTGTCACTGACAATTGTTTCTTTGTTTTTTTTTACCTGGGATCCATGTGAGAAATTCTCTCCCTGTCTACTTCACATAGAAATTAATTACTTCGCAAGCATAGTTCAGGATGTTTTGTTGCATTCCCCGATAAAATCCTAAAGTCGACACAATTTTTTGCCGTTCAAATAAAAACCATCGATTCTTATCCCACTAACGGTAGGAAGTGGGTTTTTATGGATTATTTTGGGTAAAATTTACTCCAAATGCTGATCATTGTGTCGGTACTGTAATCTGCATGTGGGATGGATTCCAATTTCCTCAAATCTTATATATAGTCTCCATATAATTATTTTCCTAAAAAAAATTAACACCAAAGTACAAAACCTCGGGTTGAAAAACTTAACTAGGGACTTCAAGTTACTGAAAATTAGCGGGATCGTTGTAACATTGATCGCGTGACTATCATTGACTTTTGTAACCCTTCAAAATGTGGAATAGATCACTTTGACAATTGGCTTCAGCGATATAAATAGAATAATATGAACACCAATAATTCTATTATTAGGCCGAAATATATATAGGAGTCCTTTGGAATAAAACCTTACTATAAATATTTATTTCTATAAATTCGAGTTAAAAAACAGTAAGGAAAATAGTAAATTCGGACGGAGCCGACTATATGATACCCTTCACCACTTTGGGTATATTCAACAGATGAATCCTAACAGAAATCGCATTTTTAAAGGACCAGTAAAATGAAACTGGATCCATAAACATGTCATCCTGCAATCCATTACGATGTACCAAATTTCGTGCAAACCGAAAGATATTAAGGGACTTTGGTACAACATTTACCTTAAATCGGACGAAAATATATATGGGAGCTATATCTAAATCTTAACCGATTTTTAGGAAACTTATCACACACCATTCTAGACCTAATTCATTACGCTGTGCCAAATTTCGTGCAAATCTAAAGATATATAGGGACTTTGGTGCACCATTTACATTAAAATGGATGAAAATATATATGGGAGCTATACCTAAATCGGAACCGATTTTTAGGAAACTAAGCACACATCATTTTATACTTAATTCATTACGCTGTTTGCCAAATTTCGTGCAAATCGAAATATATATAGGGGCTTTGGTGCACCATTTACATTAAATCGGACGAAAATATATATGGGACCTTTATCTAAATCTGAACCGATTTTTCCCAATTTCAATAGGGTTCGTCCTTGGGCGAAATAAGTGAGCTATGCCAAATTTCATCCAAATCCGATCATAAATGTGACCTGTACTTTGTGCACAAAAATACATGGGCGGACAGACGGACGGACAGACGGACATGCGTATATCGACTCAGAAAGTGATTCTATGCATATTCTCAAAAGGAACCATGTGTCTATCTCGTTTCCTTTTGCCTGTTACAAACATATGCACAAAGACATAATACCCTGTACCACAGTGTGGTGAAGGGTATAAATATACCAGTTCGAAATCCTAGCTCTAATCTCACGAATTGTATTCAGATCTAAATATATAAACAATAATAATTAAACAATCTGTATGTAAACGTCAAAATGTCAACGATGTATATTGTTGTTGTCGTAATTAACAACCAACACATATAAAAGGGATTATTTGATAATTTAATGTTTAGTCAGTAAATAACAAAAAATCATAGATATTAAATGTTTTGGAACTGCCAATTAAATTGTTTATATTAGTTGTAAATAAAAATAAATAGTTTTTGTTTTTAAAGTTGTTAAAAAATAGTTCAAATTAATCAAAATATAATAAAATTTCAAAATATTATTTTACAATTTAGATGGTTTGCTTTTTGTATAATTTGAATATCTCATAGTCATGATACTCGCAATTCAAATTTCAAAATTAATTTCTTCCTTTACCACTTTGGGTATATTCAAGAGATGCTACTAAATAGTATTTTTGACGGACCTTTGGACGGACGGACGAAATTAAATATGTGATATATATCTATATATTAGGAACAACAAATGCCATTCTGCAAAATTAAATTTCGTTCGAATATACTTAGAGTCTGTTGTGTACCATTTATATGTGTCGGATAAAAATATGAAAATCTGGAACGGTTCAAAGCAAGCTTTACACGCAGTAGCAACACGCAATGCAGAGAGAATTATAGGGCTGAAAAGAAGAGAGGAGAAAAGTATTTTCAAAAGAAAGAAGCAATCACAAGAAAATCGTGAGTGTGAGCAAATCGAGATGTAAAGGAGTCAGAATTTTGCAACGCTTCTGGTACTAAATAGTGGCGGTGAAGAAGATACCCCAGAACAATAAGAGATGACGTTATAGAGTGTATACCACCTAGCCAAGATAAGGTCAGAATAGCAATTAGTCGCCTGAAGAATAATAAAGTACCAGGTGCCGATGGATTACCAGCCGAACTATTCAAGATCGGTGATCAGACGCTGATCAGGAGCATGCACCAACTGATTAGTACAATTTGGCTAGAGGATTAAACGCCCAATGTTTGGAACCACAGTATGCTATGTGCCGTGCACAAAAAACGATATGTGCCAATTATAGAGGAATTAGTCTCCTTACCATCGCATATAAAGTGTTATCCAGTTATCCAACTGAAGCCAATGGTAAATTACATTATTGGATCTTATCAATGCGGCCTGGCAAATCCATTATAGATCAGATTTTCACACTGCGCCAAATCTTGGAAAAGACATACGAATAATATATTCAACACATTCCACCTTTTCGTCGACTTCAAATACGCATTCGACTGCTCCGCTCAGTGGTGTTTAAAGTCATGTCTGTGTTCGCCATCCCTGCTATCCATGATAGCTTTAACTGGCACAAGGTCAGCACTTAAATTTCGAAAGGACCTCTCGGTGCCCTTCAATATCGAATGGAGATTCAGACAAGGTGACAGTTTGTTGAGTGACCTCTTTAACTTAAAGGTCATACGTGAACAAAAATGACACTCTGTACACCAAACAACACATGTTACTCGCCTACGCCGATAACAATAATAGGTCAAGCATTGCGGTAACTCCCACCTTTGAACGAATTGAGAGTGGTCATCCAAAGAGGGACTGGCAGCAAATGGCGAGAAGTCCAAGTCCGCCATAAATAAAACTAATGACTGTTTTGAAATTCGGAGAAGGATAGTGTTGGCTAACAGATGTTACTATGGCAATTCAAAAACAAGGCCACCTCCCGCCAGACCAAAATCAAACTCTACAAGGCGCTAATACTACCCGTGCTGTTATTGGGATCCGAAGCATGGGTACTTGCGCAACCAGATGAGGCAGCTCTTGGAGTGTTCGAGAAAAAATATTATCCGAAAGATCTATGGGCTGATATGTGTTGATGGTGAATATCGCCTTTGAATGAACCATGTCCGACATATCGAACTGCACCGGCTACATTGGCTACGTCATGTTGTGAGAATGGATGTGGATGCTCCAGCTCAAAAAGCATATAAAAGCCCTTGGGTATTTGGTGCACCATTTCGAAAAAATGGACCGAAACATTTAATAATATGAATCGATTTCTAAACCCAGTTCAGCCCATTGTGCAAAATGTTGTGTCATTCGTACACACCTTGGGATTTTGGTGTACCTCTTACATAAAATCGTATCAACATTTATATAGGAGCTAAATCTATATCTGCTCCGATTTTATCAAAACGGCACAATCTGTACTTGATTTAGTACGCTGTGCACAATTTTATTTTTATCGGACATATCTAGGGAGTTTGGTGCCTGATTATTTAAAATCGGACGTAAATATTTATGGGAGCTATAATTTTTATTTCCTACAAATAATTTTTCCACCTACCAAGAACACGGTATGCGAAATGTCAGTCCGATTGGTTGGAAAGTATATCCAAAATCGGTCGAGTAATTTATATGGGGGCTATGTTAAATCATCGACCTGTATTGACAATTTACTACAAATATATTCTTCACTCTCTATGACCGCGGTAACAAACTTCATAAGAGTGCAGATTTCAATGCTCTAATACAGGAAGAATGATAAACGTAGAATTTTATTCTGATCAGAAGACGTTGACTTATATTCAGTAAATATATTTAAAAGTGTGTAACGTTTTAGAACAGTGCTTTAAAGTGTCCCATAAATTAATTTTTAAAATCTAACAAGTTTTCAAAAATATGTTAAAAATTCGAATTTTTGAAAAAATATTTTTAACCTATGATTTTACCTTTTATAACAATAATATTACAAGCAAATCATCTAAATTTTATAACAATAAAAAGTCAAAAATGTAAATTTTGTTCAATAATAGTTTTAGATTTTGTTAAAATTTTAGTAATATAAAATTTGTAGTAAAATATATATAGACAGTCATATAAATACATACATACTCGTAAATTCCATCATAATTGTCATCTCTCTCCCCCTCTAACTATCAAATCTTTCTGATTCTAGTCCTTATATTTGATTTTCTTCTTCTTTCTATTCCTATTTCAAAAATACAATAAACATCTATCATTTATGTTTTCTTTTCTGTAAAAAAATAACCCTGTATTTTATAAAATTTTTATTTTGTTTTACATAAATACGTACATTAAAATGCGGTATAATAACATATATGATCAATTAAAATTTGAATACAACTTCATAATTACCATTTTTGAATTTTGTTGTAAATATTTGTTGTTTCTTTTCATTTATTTTTTCATCTTCTATTTTATGTTGTAAACATTTTTTGTTGTTTTTTCTTTGATTTTTCTTTTTTGTTTTTGGATTCTTTAGGTGATACGATTACAAAAAATCTTACATGCTCCAACACCACCGGGTGGCGGTGTTACCATACAAGTAGGAACAACTTCCAATTCCACATCAAATACGATTAGTCGCATTCATAGACTTAATCAAAATCAAAACAATCTTAAAGTGAGATTTATTTCAAGCAACTTTAAATCAAAAAACCAAAAAAAAAACAAATGAAAATCCCCAACAAATTATCAATGAATATCTTCTTTATTGTCTGTTTGGTATTTTGCAAAGATCACAAATGTTCCGAAATGTGTTTTTTCTTATATGTTGGCTTGTTCCATGCAATTGTTAGTCTTTTTGAATTTCATTTGCCCCTCTAACTTAATGGAAATGTTTTTCGATTTTTTATTAATATTATTTTACAATTTCACAATTTTTTGCGTTTTTTGTTTAAAGTTCAATCTCATGGAAATTTTGTTTGAGTTCTGTTCGTTTTTTACATATTTCGTTCTGACCTTTTTTCTCTAATCAAATTTTACTTTGGAATTGTGTTTCTGCTTTATATAATGCGTCGTTTTTTTTTCTTCATAAGGCATTTTGAAAATGTTAATCTTATTAAAAATTGCTTTAAAATATTAACTGTGATTTTTTCAATATTTTATTATTTTTTCATGGGCTGGAGTGTTTTTATTACTAAACACTTTAGGTCTCAACAAAAATATTTTTTTTTTTTGTAAATTTGGTAAATTCCAATGAAATATATGAAACGAATTATCGATGAATTATAGGGTCTCCAGCAAAAAAAAAAAAAAAAATCAACAAACAATAACTCAAAAACTTGGCATGTGGCGAATTTGCGATTTGGAATTTTAATATACTGGTCGAGGGCTTTCATTGTCATAGATAAGTCAAAAGTCCCAACAGTTCTAAGTATTCCGAAAGAGCGTGAAAGGAAATTGTAGAAACTCTGTATTTTGAAATCTCGACATTCCAAAACTTTCGACAATTCGAACATCAGTACTCAATAGTGTGTCCCTATATATTAGACGGAAACGTCGCCATATTCAAGTAGAATGCACAGCGGTAACTTCTGCTTTGGGTTAATTTGGACCTTTGTATCCCATTTAGTTTAAGGAGCTTTGCAAAGTTCTTATTCACTTCCTCTGTAAGTGAAAGTATCAAATATTAGGTCTTCTGTCGATAGAAATTCCTTTAGGAGGTCTAATATTATTAGATGTCCTTTA